CACGGAGGCTAGAAGATCATCGGAGGCGATGATGATTACGATGATGACGATGATGACGATGATGACGATGATGATGAGGATGTGGATCACGTTGCGTAACAACGTCCACGGGGACGGGGAGACTGTAAGACGGTTCCGACATTTTCATTGCGGCTGCTGCTGCATCTGGGCGTGCTGCATGCTGCCTAGAACGTTCTTGATCGCCGTCGTCTTGAGCAGCCTCTTGAGCATACCGCTCGAGCCACGGTGCTGGAGGCTCTTGTGCGTGGTGAGCGAGTTCTTGGTGCGGTACCTGCGGTTGCAGAACTCGCATACGTAGAGGGTGTCCGATTGCTCGTGCTTATCCTGGAAATGACGCTTCAGGGAGTAGTAGCATGAGAAGTTGCGACGGCAGTACGGGCATTCCTGAGGCTCGTTTATACCGCCCGCCGTAGGCGGCGGCATCCGGTACATGGCAGAGGGAGGCGTCACCGGGGCTGGATGCATCCCGTTGCCCGTACCTGAAAACGTCCGTCTCGCGTCAGAAAATTTATTACGCCCACATTGAAGCACGAGAAACAACAAGTTTTCTTTCCGAGGATCGATCGAGAGAGATTTATATCGGTGATTATCCCGATTCCACAGTTAAAAAAAAAGATACTACTTCCTTTGAAAATTTTCCATTTCAATATTTCATTTCTCGTATAATCTTCTCCATGTATATAATGCGACTTTTCTCCTATAGATAATTAGTTCAGCTTATATATATATTTCGATACGCACTATCCACTATGGTCTCAACTGCTTTAAATACACGTTAGAATCGTGGCTATCGATTATCGATACGGTTATTGATAATTTTTAACGTATCGTTTATCGCGACTCACTTTTTACCCAAGTTTTCCAAGTTATCGTTATTATAAGCGGCGTTAAAAATTGCATTCATCCCGTCGCCTCTTCTGTTCTGCAATTATTGACATCACAATAATTCTAATCATTCGATCGCCTCGGGAATCACCGATGAAAGGAATCATCTCTCTCGATCATTACGCATCTTCCAACGTAAGAACTAACGTTGTTCTCGCTCGAGTGTCCCTTATTAGGACACTCCCCTATATGTATATTTTTCGAACGTCCGAGGGGGAGAAGCGAGGGGAGGCAAGGAAAGGAATAAATCATCATAGTTAAATAGGGATAGTCGTGTTAGTCGTGTCAAAGAAGTGGTGAGTGCAACAACGAATGGGTTCGATAATAATTAGTTGGGCACGCCTCGAACGTTCGATGCAGTTAAACAATTTAGGGCTTTCTTCTCCTTTCCCCATTCTCCTCGAGACGACCTCGGCTCGGTTTTAATCCCAACCCTGGGCAGCTGTCTCGGGATCAATTAAGGATTAAGCGCGGGTTGAACTCTTTCCTTCTCCCACTCGCGGGCTCGGATCGATAATATCGTGGATGGAATCGTAACCGATATCCATGGGATATGGATCGTTAATTGACCGAGTCGTTGATTAGTCGAGTTGATTAGAGAGTTGAAGAGGAACCAAAACCACCATGCCAGACCGCGTATTTGCCTTCCGCGATTGAGATTCGTTCGATTCCGTTCGGTTAGTCTTCCGAAAATGAAAGAGAGAGAGAGAGAGAGAGAGAGAGAGAGAGAGAAAAGAAGGAAAGAAAAGAAAACAGAGAGATTAGTAGTGAAACTCGACGCTTCAGAAGTGTTGCATCGCATCGTGCATAAGTAAAACAAGCTGCTATCGTTTTCTCTCCTCCCTTGAATGAAAATGATGAAAGTGTTGCGTGCGTGCGGATTGATAATCGTGCTTTTATCGAGCTTTTGGTTAGTCGAAAATTATTTCGAAAGAGAAAGAAGAAAATGAATCGAACGAGATGCGAAGGGCATCATGCAGCGATGACAAAAGAGGATGATAATCGTGGAGACTTCTTCGAAGAAAAGAAAAGAGGGAGGGAGAAAAAAAAAAAAAAGAAATCTTCAAAATTTCAAGTTTCAAAAACTTGATCGACGATTCATCGATCGACGATCGATCCACGATCGAGCTTCGAAAGCGTGACATTCCGTGTTAGGCAACGAAGCTGTAAAAGTGAGCATTAAGTGAGCAAGTGTACAAAATTCGGCATGCACATACAAAATCGAACATCAAGATGCTACAGACAGAAATTAAGGTACACGAATAGAAAGGGGAGGGGAAAATAGAAAACCTAAAACAGGAAAAATAAGATTGAAACAAACGATCACATTAACACGTTTACCAAACAGAGTTACCAAGTCACAACACGTACAAAATAATAATAATAATAATAATAATAATAATAATAATAATAATAATAAAGAAACGAAAAGAAATTAAAAGGAACCAAGGGGGTAAGGGGTGTGTTAGTAAGGGACAACCTGAAGCGTAATTACACCCTGAAGTACATGATCTTTCGGTCTTGGCGAGACTCTAAGAAAGAAAGCTCGACCTATAATATAAATAATAACCCCATTGAAACACGTACGATCGGTCAATTGAACGATTTTGTTTGTTCGATCTCGTGCCCATCATCATCTCGTGCCTTCTTCATTCGTCGCCGCGAAGGATCTCGACTCGAATCTCTCTCGAAGCCGAGTCGATCCCGAGACACAGGGGGATACATAACGGAGCCGCGAGTACCGGAAGAATTCGATCGGCGACCACCGTACGGTACCGAGGAGAATGAAGGACAATGGGAGGAGAAGAAAGAAAAGCAGTTCTGGAGCGAACAGGATTGGAGGAGAACGAAATGACGCCGGGACGGAACGAAAGCTTCGCAAGAGGAGGATGTAGAAGACAAGTGGTAGAAGAAGAAGAAGAGGAAAAGGAGGAGGAATAAGGGTCGATCCACGTGGGAGTCGAGACCGGTTTCTCTGGCATGCATTTTCTCCTCGAAGAACGAAGAAGGAACGAGGTTGAACGCGATCGAGCCGAGGTCGTAACAACGAGCGAACGATTACGCGATACTTCCAGCCACGAGGAGAGGAGTGTGGTTGCAGGAGGATTCGATTCGACTCGAAGGGAGGCGGGATGGAAACGACGGGGAGGGAAGAAAATGGAAGGAAAGGCGAGAAAAAAGAAAAAAATGCGTGAGAGGCGTTATAGAGTAGGCGTTGTAGACGATGCGGTTGGTGTAGATGTGAGAGAGAGGTACGTGTCCCTACCTTATCTAAACCTTCAAAAGAACTTAATGTCAATGTCGCCGGGTCTGCTCTTATGATAGGTATATATGTGGGTCATCAGGGAGTTACGCGAGCAATATACCCGCTCGCAGATGACGCATCTGTACTCCTCCTGTCGCTCGGCGTGCTTGTCGGCAACGTGGCGTTTCAGGGATGCTTTGCTGCATAGCACCTTGCCGCACAGCTGGCAGGTGAACAGCTTCTTCGCTGACTGGGTGTTCAGAGAGTTCAAGGTCAGCCCCGGCATAGAGGTGAGCACTGAAACACAACAATGCACCTCATGCAGCTGCAACCGCCACACTTAAAACCCTATCCCCCATATCCAAAGGATGACGCAAGCAAGATAAACTCACGATCCCCCTCCCTCCCTCCCTCCCTCCCCGTTTCTTCTCTAGCTTACTTTCCTCCCTCCCTCCCTCGTAGATTCATCCCTACCACTCGCTCTCCCTCCGTGTTCTTCTCTTCGTGCTCTCGTATTCCCTTCTCCTATTTTAACGACGCGATAAATTCAATAATTAAACGCAATACGAACTCTTGCGGACGAAACCTCCATCCGGAATTCCGAAAGGAATGAATATCGAGCGCCGGGAAGGGAGGGAATGGGGTACCGTTTTCTCTTTGGAGGACATGGATGGAAGGAGGAGGATAGAAGAAAAAAAGAAGAAGAAGAAGAAGAGAGAAAGGAAGAAAGAAGGAAAAGAAATCGAAATCGTTGTGTATCAAAAGCACGAGGAAAGAATTTCCTTCCTTCCTTCCTTCCTTCCTTCTTTCCTTTCTTCTCGACGATGCCTTTTCACGCGAAGCTTCTGACTTCTGGCTTCTTTCCCTCCCTCCACACGAAAAATTAAATTCAAAGAACCGCTTTCCGCGGCGAAGACGGCGGTTCGAGATTCAAAGTGTTTTTTTTTTTTCTCTCTCTCTTCTCTCGCGATGCGAGCGAGCGAGCTTCCTTTGAAAATAATCGCGCTCCTTTTCTTTTCTTTTCTTTTTTTTTTTTTTTTTTTGCCGGGAAAAAGAAAAGAAATGTACAGCGAAATACAATATCGTATCGCGATCGTCGTCCTCGTCGCGCGGATCATCGTCGCCGCGACCGCGATCCTCCTTATTTCCCTCCCCCGCCCCCACCCCCACCCCCGTGTATCGCGCGACCCTCGTTGGCATTTGCGCGGCCTCGACCCGCCCCAATCTTTTTAAACATCGGCGGGGTTCAAATAGGGGTTTATTGAGAGATTCGAAAGGGAGAGGGGTGAAAATAGACGAAGAAAAAAAAACGAATCGACGAGGCACGTTCGATATGGCGACGTGCTCGAGATGCATTTCGGGGAGAGGGGAAGGGGAAGAAAGAGGAAACTCTCGAAACGACGTTTCGAAATGGCCGACCGCTTTGGAGGGGGGAGAGAAGAGGGAGAGGGAGGGAAGTAAGAACTTTCAATGGCAGTTTTTCTCTCCTTCTTTCTTTTTTTCTTCATCGAAACCTCTGATTCGACTGAAACTAAAAAAAAAGAAAAAAAAAAAAGAAAAAAAGAAAGCCTTCGACCGTGTGGATGGAATAAGACGCGCGGGTATGAAAAATAAGTGAGCGAACGAGACCTTTCTTTTGGCCGGTGTTGCCGAAGACCATTAGTCTTCTCTATGTTACATTTATATGTGCACGCGGTGTGTGCACAATTCAGATAAAAGAGGATAAAGATTGTACGAAGGGGGACGAAGCGAGGGGTAGGTTGAAAGGTTGAGATAAACGAAAAAACAGGGGAGAGGGAGAGAAGGAAAACGTACATATACATGTACGAATGTATTGAGGAACGAAGCACGGACACGGAAACGAATTAAACGATAAATATATATATATATATATACGAAGAAAAAGGAAGGAGCGCGCTCGGTTCATTTGTGATGGCCGCGATGCTCGTTAATTAAAAAAGATCCGGTCAGACTGGCGAAGCCTTGTGCGCGTGGTGCGCAACTTATAATATAATACGCGTGTATTGCGGCTTTTATAATACGGTATCTGCCCCCTTTTTTTTTTTCTTTCCCCTCCCTTTCTCTCTCTTTTATTTTTTTTCTTTTTCCGTCTTCCTTCTTCCTTCGCCCTTTAGCGCCCATCGAACGCGAAACGGAGGCGAGGCCAACCCCTTCGTTCAATGCCTTTCGCTGGAAAAAAAAGAGCTTTTTATCCAATTTCTCGGGCCGCGTCTCGTTAAACTTGAAGCAAAAGAAATTGTGAACAACCTCGCTGATGAGGTCGGTCGGACGGGAGGAGGAGTATATTTCGATGGAAGTGAAATCGTGAAATCGTGTTTGTACAAACACTCGTGCGCGCACACGTGTGTTAAACGCGGCATGCATCCACGCTCGTACCCGAGAAAGTGTACGCTTGTACGAGCGGACGAGAGGGGGAGGGGGGAAGGGAATAACACGGAGAGAGGAAGGTTTTTGAACGTGCGTTCGTGAAGGAGTGGAAGGAGTTGTTGTTGTGTACAAAAATTGCGCACGATCCTCTCCGCCCGATCTGTGTATATATATATATATATATCTATAAGAAATATATATATATATATAAAAAATAAACACTTTCCACTTTACTCTGGACACATGTACGTACGCATTAATATGTAATACCTCTCGTTCTTTTTTTTTTCTTTCTTACTTTTCTTTTCTTTACGGATCACGCCTTCTCTCTCGTGACAAATCTGACAAACGTGAGGAATTGAATGGAGAGAGAGAAAAAAAAAAAAAAAAAAAAAAAAAAAAAAAAAAAAAAAAAAAAAGAAAAAAAAAAAAAAAAAAAAAAAAAAAAAAAAAACCGAAGAAAAAAAAATGTAAAAAAAAAAAAAAATACACGAGAAGAGAAATAAGGGAGACGACGAGGAGGAAACACTGAGCATTCTGGGTGACACTTAAAGCATGCAATTCCAAGTAAACGTAATAATATGCGTGAGCCTGGCGAGCGGCGTGGCGGCTTAATCGTTCTCTTTTCGCACACTGTGAATGGCCCTCGTTTCTCTCACGGTCGATCTCGTTCGAAGGTATCGAGAATGCTTGTCGCCTCTCGAAGGGTCCCTTGGCTCCTCAGCACCTGTATTGGTATCGTCGTTCTCTCTCTCTCTCACTCACTCTCTCTCTCATTCTCTCCCTCTCTTTCTCTCTACATATGTGTGCGAGAACAACTTCCGACGAGTCAATGTTTTTTGCAGGAGAACAGTGAAGAAACACGCGTATCGCGTGCACGAAATCTTTTCTCCTTCGAGAAATCCCCCTTTTTTTTTTTTTTTTTTTGTTTTCGACCCCTTCTGCCGCCGAAGAAGAATCAGAAGTTCTGATACCTCGGTCTACATAATCCGGCAAACACACCGCCGTCGTGTCTCCAATTTTCCGACGTGAAGCAATCCCGAGAACCACGTGGAAAGAGTCGTGATCGACGACGAACGACAAACTTGCGAACTTGTTTCGAGAGGAGAAACGGAACAGAACAGATTACATCTCGGAACGATCGGAGAGATCTCGTTGTCCAAAGTCTCGTTGCCTTTTTGTTTTTTTTTTTTTTTTTATTATTATTATTTTATTTCTTTTCTCCATCGATACATGGTGTGAACATTCGTGTCGTGTGTATCGACGTAACTTACCTTCCAGCTGAAAGAAAGAGGCGTGACAACACAATGCATTCGTGATACACAATTTAAAAAAAAAAAAAAAACAGGTTCGGGTGTGTGGAACACGATCGGAGCTGGGGGCTGCGGGGCTGCGGGGCAAGGAAGCGAAATATATAATAACGTATACCTGTATACCTGTGTATGTACAACGGGGGTGTGTGAATCGTTGTTGTTATCTTTCGTTCTTTTTTTTTTTTTTTTTTTTTTT